ACACTTAAGCCATTCCCAGACGGCAGGGCTAAAAGAGCATTGTAACGTCCCTAGACACTGCTGTGGGGCCGGAGGCCAAAATCACTCACCCCAGCTCCTGCACCTGCTCACTTGCATACTCCCGCCTCCCTTAAGGGATTTGAGTTCATGGCAGCAAACAAGTCACACTCTGGTTGCAAGCCCCACAAAGGGGTCCAGGGAATTCTCCTGTCTCATAACCATAACGTCAAATTTTGACAAGGAATATACAAAAAAGGAAAATTACAGACCAATCTCACTCATGAACATGGATTAAAAAAAATCCTAAACAAACACAACAGCAAATCAAATTCAGGAATATATAATAAAAGACAATATATCATAATCAAACTTCCAGGAATATGAGCTTGGTTCAAACACTGAAAAATACATACTCATTTCAATCATCTCAATTAAGGCAAAAAAAATGCATTTGACCAAATCCCATAACCATTCAATTAAAACGCTTATCAAACTAGGAATAGAAGGAAAATTCCTTAACCTAATAAACAGAAATTCAAGTTGGGAAGGACTTCGTGAAATGCTCCTTAAAGGAAGCTGAATCTCATGGAGGTATACTCTTGCCTGTCCACTTCTCTGCCACATGAAATGTGGATTTACTTGATAGCTGAATCTCCATCACTTACCTGGCCTATGAGGTAACCATAAATATGGAACTAGATATTGAACGTAGAAGTACAGAAAGACAGAAGGAACCTGGGGCCCTGAGTCTCAGTGGCAATACCACATAAGTACTAAGTTGCACAGCTGTGGACTTCTTTCACATGTAAGAATAAACATTTGTGCATTAAAGATACTTTTGTTTATGCAGCCAGACTCCATCTTGACTTAAACACTTTCTATTCAAAATGGTACTGAAGGCTCTATCCTAGGCAAAAGGTAAGAAAAATACATAAAATATGTAAGAATGCTTAAGAAACAAAACTGTAATTATTCAAATATGAATAGAAAATTTCAAAAAAACTGACAGAAAATTCTTAAAATGGCATTTCTATATACTAAAACAATCAGTTAAAATCTTTAATTTAAAAAATGATACCATTCATAATAGCAACAAAAACAAAAAAAGGTATCTAGGAATAAATCTAAGCTAAAAGTCAAAATTTTTATGTAGAAAAGTATGAGACTTTTGGGAAAGATTTTAAGGAACCAAAAAGGCTCAAGAATAGTAAGAGTTGACATTCAGCTGTTACTTTTCCTGAAATACATCCAAGGATTCAATGCAATTTTGATCCAAATTCCAACACAGTTTTTCATGGAAATTCGTAAGCTACATTCTATATGGAACAGCAAAGAGATAAAAATAACCAAGACATTCCTGGGAACACAGCCCCAGACATCAAAAGTTATGATAAGGCTACACTATTAAAGAAAATAGGTTGTGGTTCACGGATAGAAAAATAGATCCATAGAACAGAATTGACTCCACACATATCTGTAAACTTAAGGTGACAAGTGAAGGTCAGTGGCAAAAAGGTGATACAGTCAAATCACATTAGGACAATTGAAATTAAAACAAAACAAAGAGATTGGAAACCTATCTGACAAAATACATGAAAAGTGAATTCTAGATGACGGACTATTAAATATGAAAGGCAAAACTCTAAAAATTTTAGGAAAAATAGAATACCTTTAAGAGTATGTATGAAAGAATTCGTAAGTGAGATTTTAATGGACTTTTCTCCTACATTAAACTTAAGGGGGAAAAGGTTTAACTATATTAAAAGAGGTCTTTCTACTTAAAAAAAAAAAAAAAGGACAGAATGAAGGAAGGAAATGGAAAGACAGGTCAAAAACGGACAACACTTGTACCATTACAATATCCCACTCATACAAAGCTGTTAAAAGTCAGTAAGAAAAAGAAAAATCAAGGAATAAAAGACAAACATAAATAGCCAATAAAAATCTGAAAAGACGTTCAACCTTATCAGTAATCAGGGAATGCAAATTAGGGTCACGACAAAAAAAATTTCATATCCATCAAATTGGGGGAAAAAACTTCAAGGGTTGCCAAGAATATACAATAACTGTAACTCTCTTATACTCCAGGTAAGAGGGTAAACTGGTACCACCATTTGG